ATTTTGGTTGACTTTTGTGGTCATTTCAGTTTTGTAAACACAGAGTGTGTGCAGTCGTCGCACATAGGCAAAACTGCCTAGAAACATGCCATCTAAGCAACCATTTTGGGGGTTTTTTAGCTCCGCAGAGTAGTGCGAAATGTAAGCCAGCACAACACCTAAGAGTTATTCTGGTGGCACATGACTGGATGGGCCTTTGGGGTAGTGTCTAGGGTTGGTTCATTATCTTGTTCGATAGTAGTATTATGTGGGCACTTGTGGGGACTTTTGGTCACTGTGGACCACCTTGGACTCTTTGTCACACGACCGTTCAGAGCTCGCGAAATCTATGTTTATAATTTGCACTGCCTATCAAATGTTTGCTGAAATGACTGCTTGTTGGATTCCAAGTTAAATGCTTCCTCTAACCCGTCTTCTCTTTTGTAGGTTCTTAAGGGACCATAAGAGGTTTCGAGGAGGCTAACTCTTTGTGGACGGACATGCATGGGTGCCGCGTGACTTAGGCAAAACTAGCTAAGTCCATGACAACCTTTTCGCCCTTTCCTTTCGCCATATGCTCCACGCATGTGTCGTGTCTGATCACCACACATCCCCCTTTGTGCTCGCGGCCTAATGTCTACATGCTCAACGCATTACTTCAAATGTACATCTGTTGTGGTTGCTTTGGAGCCGCTCACTTGTTATTCGACGGAAACTCTCTTAGAGATGTCATGTCATGGAATGTCATAATGAGAGGGTACATCCTTGAAGGCTTTATTGAGCTTGCATTGCATTTAGAGGGGGTGAAAGGCATGGGCATGAAACCAGATGAGGTCACATTGATAAGTCTGGTGTCGGCTTGCTTTGGCTCTAGTGATTTGGATAGAGGGCGATCACTCCATTTGTTTGTGAATGAGCTCGGTTTGGTGATGAAGAGCCTCAATTTGGGGATCGCTCCATTTTAAAAAATACACGTGTCCTCACCGTGTCCGTGTCCTAGTTTTTAAAAAAATGACGTTCCATCATGTTTGTGTCGTGTCCGTGTCCCGTGTATGTGTCCGTGCTTCTTAGCTTGTTTCTTAGCGTTAAGTTTCTTTTTTTTTTCTTTCCGGTTACCTTTACAAGAACAAAAAAGTACTGAATAGCTCTAATCAATTTTATATGCAAGACAGGAAACTTAGTCATGTTTCCTTGGATTCTATAGTAGCTGATTTGGTTAAGTATTATATATTTCATGTAGAAGAATTAGCAGTTGGCTAGTTATTTCATTTGATTCTCCGTGCTGTAGCCGTGTTGTATCACCTTATATCAGATGATTTGAAGACTTGAGCAACTCCATATTGACTAAGCTCCTATTAGTTTCCTTTCATCTCAGATTACTAGGTGTTCTGATAGGATACAGTGCATTAGTGCTGGTATGATCGCACCCTTTCATCTCGTATTTCCTTTCATCTCATATTTCAACTCCATATTGACTAACTTCCTATTAGTGTTTCTTTTCCTTGTATTCTATAATAGCTTATTTGGTTAAGCAATATGTACTTCGTCTAGGAGAATTAGCACGACTAGTTATTTCATTTGATTTTGCATGCTGTAACCATGTTGTATGATGTTTTTGTCAGATGATTTGAAACTTGAGCAACTCCATATTGACTAACCTTGTATTAGCATTTCCTTTCATCTCATCTTTCCAGGTGTTTGTGACCAAGAAAACTATACAAATATCCCAATGGCAAGCAGCTGCAGATGTTATCAATCTTCTCTCCCCTACCATGAACCCAGGACATCTGGGATCAACAGCTAGATTACATGCCACTTTTTTGTTGGTAAAATGTGGCTTAATGGCCTACTAGCTGTAAATCATTTTCTGATTCTATAATAAGATGGATGTTGCTGATTATTTTCGGATTATTTGTTTTTGTCATGAGATAAAACCAAGGAAAGATGACCAAGATGAGGTATCACATTTTCTGCAGCTTGATCTGCTATGCGAGTGAATAAACCAGCTGACTAGTGATATTTATTTGGACTTTTGAATTAGCATTTCAGATAGATTGTGGCTTGAACTGGCCAGTGTAAATAGTAACTCGTGGTATAAATCTGTTGAAATGGTTCTTGAAGCTCTCACAAAACAGGTGGGTTCCACACGGCAGAAGTGACATGGGTGAGACTACCTGCCATTTGAGAGGGGAAAATGTACCCCTGTATCAGCTGACGCCATTGATCCAGTAAGTATTGCATGTTACTCTTATATAAACTAAGTGTCATTTGATGCTGATGATTCATATTACTCTTATTATTATGTCTCTTTTTAATACACACCGATGTCTTGTTCCAGATTTGGAGAAGGCCTCACATTCATGCACATTATCTCCCACCTTTGCTCCAGGACACGGACTTGTGTTGTTGATCCCAGGTAAGTGATTGGCTCTCGATAGCTTTCAGTGAGTTGTTAATATGCATATGAATTGGATGAATGATGTGGTGGGCTTTCATTTATAAAGTTGGGATTTAATGCTTGTTGCTTTCGATGGGTTGGTGGCATAAATGCTATCTGGGTCAGAGAAGTGCTAGGATCCTCCCCATTATAAGGGCTTCCATTGATGTTGAAACATTGATTTGTGAGGGTGTCCTTTCATATAAAATGTGATAAATTGGTACCCTGCAAACCTCTTGACTATTCTGCATGACCTTAAGAATATGTGGCACTTCTCTTTTAAGTGGAAGGAATAGGAGAAAAATCTTTTTTTCCACTCAATGTGTTCTTATGGTTGCAGCATGTCAATTAAAAGCAACTCTGGAGTAGCCCCACCATTGCCCTACTTTATCCTTGAATCTGATCACCTTGTGGCACATTCCTGGTTTAATCAATGAGGGAAGAGTAGCATTCAAAAAAGAAAAGCCCCACATAATGAAAGTTTACTTTTCCAGACATGGCTGTAATCATTATGCTTGTGGGAACATGTTGCTAATGCTTCTGAAACTAGCTTTTAATTATTTGGTCAATGGTGTTATATTACTTTTCCTCAAAGTACGATCTATTTTGTGAGAATCGATTAATTGGGAAGATTGAATGCAAGTGAATTTTCTATCTATTTCCATCGTTAATGGGTTTCTATTCTTCAAAATGGTTACAGCTTATCAGACATGGATAGACTTTTACTTGGATCAAGAAAACACCCTTTTGTGATTTCATGCAATTTGTCTCAAACCCTATCATGCTGATTTGCAGGTGCAAGAGTGTCGCGGATGGTGTTCCTTCAGAATGGAGCTTCATGCAGTAGATTCCACATTTTTCGATGGGAAATCATGTTCCTTGTCTCGATTTTCAGGTAACATGTTAGGTCAAGTCCATCCATCAATTTCTCCCAAAGTAGAGACAACTGGACCCATCAGCCTACTCTTCTTTTTTCCTTTTGGTATGTGGCATGGCCATCACATGTTAGCCCCACACATGGTTGATTAGCCATGTTCTAAGTGTCCCATTGGGTCGGGACCAGAAGTCATCGAGCCAAGTCAGATGGACCATTGTGTGCTTACTATAGTCCAAGTCTTGGGTGGCTGCTTGTCGTCTCAAATTGCAAACAGCCATGCTAACCCTTAATTAGCTCGTTCTAGTGATTAGAATCACACTGCAGCTTAACCAGAGACATAAAATGAAGTGCACAATATATGTTTTATCTGAAACCTCTTGTGCCAGTGTCTGCATTAGTTTCTGAATATCAAGTATGTGGTTTATAGGCAAGCTTGTCAGTTAACACAGGAGAAGATCTGAGTGTTAATCCTTAATAATTTTATATTTTGTGGTTACATTTGGAATTTGATGCATGCAGACTAAAGAGAATGGTCCACAGTTGGATGATGATGATGATTGTGATGGTGGTGGTGGTGGATTCTGCCCCTTCAAAGTGGTGAAAGTTATTTCTCCCAGAAAAAGAGGTAAAGATACTCGAATCCAAAGTTCAAACAAGAACAAACTTCAAGCTTCCCAAGACTAGTAATCAGTTTTGTACATAGGTTTGCTTGGTGGTGGGATAAAAGCTAAAAAGCGCATGCATGCTACTTTTTCTCTTGCTACTTCTCTTTTGTCACTATCATTAATAATGCTGCTAGTATCATATGACAACATTGCTTTTTATGCTACCAAAGGGAAAGAGGCTATGGTGATGCACTATTTCATGACCCTCTCTAATCGAAAGGTGCTCTTCTTCCTCCAGGTGTGTTGGCAATCATCAAAATACCTTCTCTGAACCATGTGCAGTCCACCTTGTTGGTATCAGTGACACAATAGAAAATGGAGGTGCAGCAAGCAGTCTGGCAAAACAGACAAAAGCACCCAACACTGTTTCATCTTTCTTTCTCGATTCAAATGATTCAAGAGAAAGCAAGAAAGTCAAATCCGTGAAGAAGAAGAAGAATATAATTGTTGTGTTCTCTGCAGAAGACATCCGATGCAAAGATTTGCCTGATCCACTGGTATGTAGCATGACACCCTGCCATTTGCTAGAATAATAGGTTTTGAGTTGATGCCAACGTGCGTGCTCGATTTCATGTGATCACAAGTTGGTATGGTAGCACTTGCACTTGACGACAGAAATCCATGTCATCTTCTGACATGTCACATGTGGTGCCAATTGATATCTAACCAGCTAAACAAAAGCTCCGATGACAGGGAACCACCACTGCACAAGATACAGAATCACCATTCCAGACTTGATATAATGCATTTCAAGAATCTACACAAGGATGAACCGGAAGAACAAAAAGCTCCAGTCGATCAGATTCCTTCATACCAACAAATTGTTTTCGAGTGCCTGTTAGCTGCTGTACAGCTCATAATAAGCTTTGTACAGAAAGGGCATCTATCTACCCATAATTGTTTCATGGAATAATATCCAAGCGGAGAAGGTTGCTGATCAGATCAACAACAACTCAAAGTTCGTTCGTTCTCTATCAAGAACAAAGAAGCATTCTATATCTTGGTACATCAACAGCTCAATGTTGCATGTGTTTTAACCATGTCTGAGAACAACACTACAATTAAGATGTTTTCTAACACAACATTCTTTTTGATTTGGGTATGAGGACCAAAAATTGCATGCATGCATTCATGCGCAAGAGAAATCGGCAGAAAGCAATCAATCACACATCTTTTCAATCAGAAGGAAGGAAAGAAATCATTATCTACACAACAGCAAGAAGCTCAGGTTAATCTTTTAACTCACCTATGGGTCGTATGTTTCATTTCTTCGACTGTTGAGGCTACAGTAGATGCTCTCTACTCTTCATCCATGGAAGCTTTTCTTCTTGACCTGCCATGGTGTTTCGCAGGAGGGGAAGGAGAAAACTCGCATGGCACAGCCGGAAGTTCCATCTCCCCCTTGAGAATTCTGACGACGTCGCCACCGTCCGGCCGCAGCTCCGGAATCCTCTGCAAGCACAAGAGAGCCAGGTTGATGCAAAGGCTCGCCTGTTCCTTGTCATATGCATCCGTCAACCTCTCATCCACGAGCTCCAGGAGATTGCCGGTTTGAAGCAACCGCCTGCACCAGCTCACCAAGCTCGCCTTCTCTGGCTTCGCCGGCGACGGCAGCACGTGCAGCGGCCTCCTCCCGGAGACGATGACAAGGATCAGAACCCCGAAGCTGTATATATCGGCCTTCTCCATCAGCTGATCACAGCCATGGCACTCTGGAGCGACGTAGCACACCGTGCCTCTCATGCTCGTCGTGCTGCTCAGCTCCCTACTGAGCAGATCACCGCTGAACATGTCGCTGCCCACTGACTGACTCCTCTTCTTCCTCCATCCCTTTCTGAAGCCTGCATCCGCGGTCAAGTCTCGGCCATGCTTATTAGCATCATCGCCGAGATCACTGATCGTTCGGAGCCACTTCCGCTCTTTCTGGCAATGTCCCTTCTTGCTCATTTCTGCCAAGTACTCCTCCTTCCACCATTCCCTCATCTTCCTGTCGCAGGGGAGCACGCCTTTCTTCCTCCCCTGTTTCTTCTCCGGATTCCTCTCGTGGGAACCGCCGAAGAGGCTTTCATCTCCAACATCCGAATGCTCCACGCGACTCGAGTTCCTGAAATCGAAGCACTTCTCGGGGGGAGTCCTCCGGCCGTCGTCCCAGTCGGAGTTGCTCGAGGGGCAAATTTGGCTCCCGATCCACTCTCTGACGTAGTCTTTGCTGCTCAATTCTCCGCTTCCGTCCTGCTTCCACCACCAACGCTTCCCCAATTGATCGCTCGACTCCGTCCTTCCTTCATCCAGCGGAGGATCCGCTCTCGATTCCTTACTGTGTTCAAAGCTAAAAGTCTCGTCTTGGACGGGGGAGGCGACTGCCACTGTTTCCTTCCCCCTGGGAGTCGGTTGCTTCTTGCACGGAATCGATGAAGAAGCACGGAGGGCGAGGGCGAAGTCTACCTGTGGGCTCTCCGGAGCGAGGTCCTCCTGGCTCTTGAACAGCTCCTGGCTCTGACCGAGATCTTGGCTGAAGAAATCGGCGCCGAGATTGGCGTCGACCTTCATCTGGGAGAGACCAAAATCGGAAATCTTGGCCTGGAAATCGAAGCCGAGGAGCACATTGCTGGGCTTGATGTCACCGTGGACGACCGGGGGATCGCACTGGAGGTGGAGGAAGGCGAGAGCTTGGGCGACGTCGAGGATGATGGAGAAGCGGCGGTCCCAGTTGAGAGGGGAGCTGGACCCGAAGAGGGCTTCCTGGAGGCTCCCGTTGGGCATGTACTCGTAGACGAGGAGGCGGCGGCGGCGGCCCTCGAGGCAGTAGCCGAGGAGGGAGACGACGAAGGGGGAGGGTAGGAGGGTGGCGAGGACGTGGAGCTCGTTGTGGAACTCGCGGTCGGAAGAGGCGGCGCGGGTGGGGGAGGAAGGACAGGAGGCGGAGGAGGAGAGGAGACGCTTGACGGCGACGGACTTGCCGTCGGGTAGAACGCCGCGGAAGACGGCGGCGGAGGCGCCGCGGCCCAGGGACCGGGAGGGGTCGAAGGAGGCGGTGGCGGAGCGGAGGGCGCGGTAGGAGAAGCGGCGGAGGCGGAGGGGATTGGCGGCGGTGGCGGGGGAGGTGTTGGAGGGTAAGGGGAGGGTGGGGGAGCGACGAAGGGAGAGGTAGAAGTAGAAGAGGACGAGGAGGACGAGGACGAGGAGTAGCAGGGAGGAGGCGGAGATAGCGACTGCGAGATGTAGGACGTGGTGGCGGTGGGAGGCGGAGGCGGAAAGGGAAGGTGAAGAGAGGCGACGGGAAGTCATTGGGGATGGAAGGCCGGCGCTTCGAAGGAGAGGAGGTAGCTGAGGAAGAGCAAAGGTAGGGAGGGAGGGAGTGGTGGAGGGTGGTTAAGAAGAATTGCATGTACAGTATGCCATTATTTAGGGGACAATTCTTAATGGAAGCGGAAGATGGTGTCATGAGACAAGATGATATAGATATGAGCACATTTGACAAGCCAAATCTTAAACAAGGAGTTAAGAGAAAGAAAAAAAAAAAAACTTTGATCAGCCAAAAATAATAGTAAGCCTCTTGGCAACGATGTGAATACCTCGATGTTCTCTTAAGAAAATTGATGAATTGTACTTGTTTCATCTCGGGAATCACCCTGATCTTGATAACTTGATCAAGACGGGCTTTGTCTAGGGGTGTCTCAATCAACGATTCCATCACCTTCGAATGTAGGAGTGGCTTGGTGAAATTTTGGAGGTCCATAGATGATGCTTTGGATCGTGCCTTCTTCGGTAGAGGGGATCGTCGTGAGGTAACACTGGCATGATTCGCTCGGGTTGCTTCTCAACTCTCTAATGTTAGTTTTCATCGGGAACTTCATCACTATATGATAGGTCGACACCACTGCCTTTAGCATGTTCAGCGTTGGCTGACCTATGATTATGTTATATGTTGAGGGGATATCAACCACCATAAATCTGGTAGTCATCGTTTTAGAGTATGGCTCATCTCCAAATATGACATATAGGTTCACAGTCCAAAGAGGGGAGATTGAGTCACTATTGAACCATATTAACGAAGAAGTTATAGGGGTGTGGTCGTTAGTCAAGAACTTGAGTTTTTAGAAAGTGTCAAAGTAGAGGATATTAGCAGAGCTACCTGTATCAACCATGACCCTCTTCACTCGAGCGTTGATCGTCCTCATGGAGACTACCAAGACATTATCGTGGTTCAAGTCGAGGTACTCCGTCTCTTCCTTTTTGAAGGTAATTTTCGAGTCATCGCTCGTCTGCCGTTGCTTTTCAATGGTAACTCAGGCGTAAGCTTTACGACCCGAGGAACTATTTCCTCCTTAGACGAGTTCACAAATGATGATGTCAATCTATCTCTCCACCGGCCCTTACAGTTAGGATAAAGGTTCCTGGTGCCTTTGGACGAATCACTCAAGGTGTGCCAAATGAATGAGTTCTTCAATATGTTTTTTCAAGTCATGATAATCTTTGGTGTCGTCACCGTAATCTCGGTGAAAGCGACAATAATTGGATCTATCTCTCTTTGCTAACAGAGTCTTCATTAGTTAAAGTTTTTTTAAGAGTCATTTCTCTTTTATCTGTAAGAAAACTTCATTTCTAATCATATTCAGGGAGTCAACTTAGACCTCAAGCGATGCAACTAGGGTTGTTCATTTCTACTTCGCCTTGGTGACCTTGGGGTCGGGATAGATTATAACTATTTATATCTTGGTCTTTTCCATGTCTTCTCACATTTACTTGAAACCATTATCTCAATGACAATGTATTAATTAGTCCTCTACAATACCTCATGTATTATTGCCGGTTGCCTCTCCACTAATAATTAGAAAATGCGAGAGGGTTTGAGTCCCATCAAAAAGTTTTGTATTACAAGCGACGGATGAACATCTTGTATGCCTCAGATTTCGTTGGTGAACCGAGCAACGAAGTCTAAGAGTATTTCCTCCTCTCCTTACTTGTGTCCAAGAAGCATGATGGCCTCGAGCACACACTCTTAAGGAAGTGAAGCTCAAATTCCCTAACGAGCTAACCAAAGGAACTAATAGAGAGCGGCTTCAAGCGAGCTACCATTCTCATAACAGGCCTCTTAACATGGTTGGAAAGGTGCGACACATCAAAGCATCTAAAGTACCGTATAATAACATTGGGGCATGGAAACATGAATCCTATGTTGTCCGGCTTGTCATTGGTTCATCCGGCACTTCGTTCGATCCTTCGATGCATCATCCTCTCCTTCGGCGTATTGCCCAATCGGCATGTTGACTTCTTGCAACATCTGATCTCCTTGGCATAATGCCCGATCCTTCGACCCGATGCTTGAACTCATGACACGAAGTCCTTCCGACACGTCGACCAGAGGTGGAGTTAGCCGAGCTTTCCCTTTTGGATTGTTGAAATTCTTGTTGCATCTCCTGCAAGTGTTGGTCCATTTGCTATAGCTAGATCTTTAAGGAATCGTACATCGAATCTACCGATTGGGTTTAAGTTCAGGTGGAGAGTGGTGGTGTGTTGGTCCGTTGAACTTCATAGTTGGGGAGCGGGGTGTACCCTCGGTTGACAATTCGAAGGGCTTCAAGCGCTCTTGAGATGTTGGTATTGTGTCGGATGAGGGGATCTCGACGGACGTCGATGCTAGTGGTAGTTGAGATGCTAACCCCGATTGAGACGGTGGCGTCGCTTGTTGGGCTAGTTGGGCAAGAGTGGAGCAATAGCTTGCATTATGCTTATTAGCATCTACACTTATTATGTGAGGTTTAGAAAGTCGCTTGTTGGGCTAGTTGGGCAAGAGTGGAGCAATAGCTTGCATTATGCTTATTAGCATCTACATTTATTATGTAAGGTTTAGAAAGTCGCTTGTTGGGCTAGTTGGGCAAGAGTGGAGCGATAGCTTGCATTATGCTCATTAGCATCTACACTTATTATATGAGGTTTAGAAATGCATCAGCGGGGATGAGCAGGTGACTCGGGGTCACCCTCGGGTCGTTAAACATGCACTAATATTGTGTCGAGGTAGATGTATCAATGTAAATAAAGATTGACTGCTACCCTCTCCTAAGTAAAAGTACTATGGGTTAGGGACAGAGTCTCCTCACTCGAGCGTTCGTTGAAAGGATTGATGGATAAAAGCACATGCGATATCAAACCCTCATTCTAGTACAAAAAATATTAGAAAAAAAAATCATCGATGTCTTGGTCAACCTGACGTTATCTAGACCCATCGTGATCGTGACTATGGTGACTTATCAATAGCCACAAAATCACCGTGGCCGGCTTGGCAGATGGTAGCATTAGTCATAATTTCTAAAAATTTCGATCTTAACTCTTCATGCTTGGGTAACGATCGATGTCTCAATAATTGCTTTCACGAATCAATTCACACTTACCCAAAGCCTACTATCAAAGATCTCATGTATACTACTTCAATGAACCCTTCAAAACCTTTAATTTTCGACGCTACATCTTTATCGGACACACCTACCCTAATTTTTACAAGACTGAACTCGAACATGTCCTAACGTTGATACTTAGGACACCTATCGTAATTTTTACACGACTGAACTCGATCATGTCCTAACATTGATAGTTGGGACAAGTTCTAACCAGGACAACCTATTAAATATAGAAAAAAAATTAAACTATATATATATATATATATATATATATATATATATATAATTCATAAGCAATCGATTATAATTTTCATAAAAATAAAATAAGAGATTGATATAAAATGTCTACATATTTGCTAAAAAGATCATTAAAAATTTAGTCATAGAAAGGTGTTAGTAATCCTATGAAAGAAGATAAAGAGACCTAACAACATCATACTAAAATTATTTAAATATAACACCTAATGAACCAGTAAATGAATGTTATGAATCTGGTGAGCATAAAAAAATTACTAAAATCACTTCAACATAAGTCTGCCTTATCATATATATTAGTTAGTAGGCCAATAATAGATAGATCAACATGGGCAAGCATGCATGCATGCAGGTAACTAATACAACATTCCTGTACAAGTAACACCATATCGTCTTTGCAATTTGCCCTCATGACAATAACTGCACATATCCATTTGCATCGATGTAATGTGACGTCCCCAAGAAAACTAAACATGGCATATGGGATACGAGGTTGGTTACTTGACTGACAGAAACAACTAGTTCAGAAGTCTTTGAGAGTAAAACAACCTTTGCATGACAAAAATATTGTAGAACAAGAAAAAGAAAAAGGCACCCTAATTTGATCATTGCAAATATAACAATATCAACAAGAAAAAAGATTCAGCTAAATGAACCGGGGAGGTAAATGAATCCCTGCTCTCAGAGTCTTGCTGATGCAAAATCCATAAATGTAGAAACAGCTAGATGACTGAAGGTATTAACTTTTGTTACTCCCTATTAGAGAACCAATATGAACGCGCTGCCTCTCAATCAATCTTTACTGATGAATAGATCAACCTTGTGAACCAAAAGCATGCATAAAAGCCAATCGTGCCGGTCAGAACAAAGAAAGCGTAGGAGGCAATCAGCATGTAGCCAAAGTACAGAATGCCCGATACTGGCTTCGTAATGTCCAACTTTGTGAAGAAATAAAAGGTGGCATAAAGGAAGAGATATAGCGCCGAGGACCCTGACGTCAAATAGGACCTCCACCACCACAGGTAATCCTCGCTGCAGAGTTGGAAGTAGCAAAGAACAATCGTAATCTCGGCACATGTGACGATAAGGATGAGGAAGACAAGGAAAAGGAACCCAAATATGTAGTAAAACTGATGCAGCCAGATTGAGGTAAGGATGAAGAAGAGCTCGATAAAAACAGCACCAAATGGGAGAATGCCTCCGATTAGTATCGAGAAAATTGGGTTCATGTACCAAGCCTGCTCTGGTATCTGTCGAGGGATCTTGTTTGTTTTGACGGGATCCTCAACTGCAGGCTTCTTGAACCCCAGATAACTGCCGACAAACACCAGGGGCACAGAGATACCAAACCAAAGTAATACGAGTGCAAACATTGTCGTGAACGGCACAGCACCAGATGACTTCTCCCCCCAGATGAGAGCATTCAAAACAAAGAATATAGCAAATACGATGCCTGGGAATGTGAATGCTGTCCTCAAGGTAATTTTCTTCCATTCTGTACCCTTGAACATCTTGTAGAGGCGGGCAGAAGAATAGCCGGCAAACAAACCCATGAAGACCCAAAGTAGGAGCATTGCTGTCATTAATCCTCCTCTGTTTGACGGAGAAAGGAAGCCAAGGACAGCAAAAATCATAGTCACTAGCAACATACCAAAGAACTGAACACCTGTACCAACATAGACGCACAACAAGTCTGAGTTAGCTGGAGGCCTGAATACATCCCCATGGACCAGCTTCCATCCTGTCTCTTCTTGAGCTTCTTCTTGAGTTTCAAGCTGGTTGTACTTGGAGATATCACGGTAAAGAGTCCGCAGCATAATCATGGCAACCATACCAGAAAGGAAGAGAACAATCATCAAAGAATTAACAATAGAAAACCAGTGGATTTGGTCATCTGCCATCAGAAGATAGGTATCCCATCGAGATGCCCACTTCACTTCGCTCGCCTGCAAAACGGGGAGAAAAAGAAATTAACACTTTTTTAAATCTCCAAATTATACTCTTGAAAGTGCCATCAAATGAGACATGCTTCTATAATCAAGATTTAGGCAATGGTCAAGTCTCACCTGAAAATCAACATCATATGTGAATATAATATCTTTGTTTGCTTCAACCTCTTGTGGGGCATCTGAATTCACGACTGAGCGTCTGGCATGAGGATCGCAGGTGCTTAAGCGAGTCTTATTACCACTCCACTGACCTTCGTACTCGTGTTTAACACTACAACAGAGCCAACGATAAATCATAATGCAGAGTTAGCTTGGGCAGAAAGAAACTGGTAGCATTTTGACAACCCTAACCTGAATGATTTGACCTCGAACCCCACAATCCTTGCCAGGTCCATTTGCATATCCTTGTGATACCTGACTAAAAATGACAAATGGTTGTGGATATAATACTTCACATCCTTTTTCTGCACAAGAATAAAGTGTATTTCATATGACAGCATTTCTTAAGAAAGAGACAATATGCAGATTTGTTTTGAGTGTCTAGTATTTACTCCGGTAGCTTGGCCTTTGGCACCAATGTAAAAGCCATGCTGATAAAATGTGGGAGTATCTTGATCCAGCCTTTTAATAGGAACAACAAGTGGAAGATTGTCGAGAATCCTGCAAAAAAGAAATGCCATATCGTTAATTGTATATGGTGCACGGTTATAGACAGATTGCCAAGTGGCTATGAACCAGGTTTGCCTTACATGTTGACACGATATTCATCCTCTATCTTTTCCTTAAGGTCCTTCGCATCTTTATCATTGAGTGTAACCTTGCAGACAATCTGACACATATGTGGTTCCCTCATTTCAAACTGGATCACAAGAAAGGAAAGCTTGTCAGAAAAGACCTGGAAGGAGTTCACAGAAGAAGGCTATTGCATAATGAAGAGCAACTAACCACATAGGGAGAATTTTCAATACGATCACCACGAAGAACTTCCCCAAGATTTTCTGCACTGTCAACTATACTATCTGGTCGACAATGTGGAAGAGAATAATAGGAATATGGCAATTGTGTTTTTGTCGAAGTTAGCTTGTTCACTTTCACCAAAAGTGGATCTTTCTGCAGTCAGAAGAAACCAGTGTCACTCTTTTACAAACAGAAAATAGAATTACTTGATCACCTTAATCCAAAATCTAAAACTCTCTCACAAAATGGAGGAAAAAGAACATCATGGAGAAGATAAAGATCATGTAACATATCATATTATTAAATAGAGACAAACACAAACAGAACACCCGTGTGTACACATGCACATCCAAACAAGCATATAGAAGAAAAGAAGAAACAATAAGAATATGTGAAACAAACAGTTGTCTGCTACGAGAGAAATTTTGAAAATTGGCTGGCTTATGAACTAGCTAAAATTGCAGAGGGTAATCTATTCAATGTCTAGCATGATATGTATCGACCACAAAGAACCAAAAAGGTCAATAAATCTCACTCTAGATATCTTATTTGCTTCAGCAGGCATGCAGTCAAGGCAGATAATTAACTATCTACTATGATCATGCATGAAAAAGGTAAAAGAAGATCTAATGATGATTTTATGCAAAAAAAGCATGATTAGCATGATTTTCAATACTTCCATAGATTCAAGAGCCAATATGCACAACAAATTTGTACTGCAGCTGTATTTGAACGAAAACTATTGCATTCGAAGTTGCAGGTGAGTGAGATGCAGTTGCCTTAAGCGGCCGTGATATATATAAATATATGTCTCAATTTATCTCCATCATTAGCAGCAATCCGAACGCTTAATCCGGAAAACTAATATTTGGAATGAAACCATGCTTCAAACCATGCTCCAGTAGTAATACTCGATGATTCATAGTAGTGTTACACAAGCACGACTGACCAATTCTAACAAAAAGGGCATTCTTGATTAGATCTGTGGACTTCCATTCTTTCAACTCTGCCGTTTCCACTAAGTAAATCTAACTGCTAGAAACTAGATCAAGCTGCACCGTAATCAGCGAAACCAAACATCTAATTTTCATCAGATCCAGATGCATCCCAAATCAGTCTCACGATCCCTAGTCAATCCAAGCAACAGACACCAAAACCGCCCCGCGTCTAAACGAATGAGGACACCGACTGAATCAAATCTAACACTAGAGAAGGAGATCTACCGGGGGAAGAGAGATCTCACCTTCTGGAAGTCGGAGGGGGCCACGCCAGGAAGGTAGAAGCCGAGCCCCCCGGCGACGGCGGAGAGGAGGAGCACGGCGGCGATCCAGGGGGCCACCGCCATGGATCGGGAGATCTCCATGAATCGGAGGAGAACAGCGCTAGGGTTCGTGGGGAGCCCAATGCGAGATCTGATCTACGACCTCTTCTCCCTCGCGCCCTCTCCAATCCCTCGCAACCAAATCCCCCTTCTCGTCCATCGCTCCAGTTTAATACTCTGGGGTGCGTGTTCGGTGGAGAGGCGAGTGGTACGTTTTTTACTCGCCCACAACGTACCCGCTCGATATACCGCGTGTCCTGTTACCATTCTCCATTTTGTTTGGAATCACTCGAGTTGCGACTTGATACTGTCGGGCTCACGTGGGACCCGACCGCTAAGCGTAGGTATATTCCGGGGTACCAGAAAGGTGTGGGAGAATTAATTTCGAAAAGAATCAAGTAAAAGCACCCTCGTAACCGCGTAGAGTAGAGCCGTAGAGATTTGGAGAACAGAAAAAAACCAGAATACTTTTGCTTACCCTCCGGGGTACATGCACTGTGAGCAAAACTAGATACTGGGCCCGTGTAGGACCCACTAAACATGAGACCGGTATCTTTTGGGGAAGAAAAGAACGCGTGCGAGAAGTAACTTTGGATAAAAAGTAAGTGAAAGTGGCCGCTCACCTTTGACGAGAGTTCGGTCGACTTGTCTTACCGTACGACCACACGATGGCTTGCAAGTGGAGGCAGAAACGGGGCCCGTGCGGGACCCACTGTTTGATTCGGGTAAGAAAGCAATCAACAAGTACTCGAAAGGATCCCAAATCTCAGTGGTGGACTGCTTATTAAAGAAGAGATGATGGAGGCCTACATGGAAATCTTCCGAGGCAGCTGATCCCAAGCATGGTGACTTCAATCTTGACCTGCACTGCAAGGTCTCTCATTAGTCAAGTGGTTTTAGTACAATCCAGTTATTGTTTTATCTCTGTATCTTAATATTAGCAGTAGTAACTTGAATAAAAGAATTGGATTGGCCATGGATTCAGGATCTGGATCTAGACAGCCTTCTCAAGAACCATCATTGAGTGGAAAAAAAAAATGTGGTGCAAGGATCATGTGATAAGTGATCTTAGACCTTACAGTCTTTAGGTACTTGGGAGTCAGTCAGTCTCTCATGGTAAGAACATGTTGGGCAAAATATCACCTTTAAGTGGATGTTGTGATTTGCATATTTCAGTTTTGAAAATATTTTTTCTTAGATCTGATGATGTTATAAGTCCTAAAAAGATTTTGTAAAGTTCAGATCCATTTTTCCCTATGACTATGATCGTAGTAATGATGCATTAGAACTTGATTGTTGGAATAACAGGACATTTATATTCTAACATCCAGCTGGTGCATTCGAACTTGATTGTAGTAATGATCCAAATCAAGTTCTTCTTGTAGTTATGGCAAATGTATATGATGTTGCATCATTCATATATCCTGCTGGTGCAAAGTAGATCACATTCATTTGCAAAAGAAGATTAGACATTGATAAGAAGGAATACACTGAAGAGTGCTGCATTTGATGTATATATATATATGCATATTTATCTACAGTTACTGTAAGAGGGGTGATGAAGAAGTAATCTCTTCTTTCTATGCAAAAACTGGAGATCCTTCGAAAATTTCCACCGCATTCTTCACAGCTTCAACATCAATGTCTTTTAGCTTTCCTGTTGGTGATGAAACAATCGAGCATCTCTTTTCTTGTGCGTTTGGAACGAAGAGATTTCCTTTCTCTTCGGAGGAAAACAATGCGATGCTGCACAAAGCAACCCAAAGACGGTAGTTGAGATACAATTCTTTCATATTACTGTTTTTGTGCTGATTTGCTGCTTAAAAGAAAGAAAACTAAGCACTCGATGACCGATGAAAGATCCAACGAAGAGGGAGAAGCTAAAGAACTAACCTTGGCTTGTTACGAGCAGTCGCAAGTTGAATCGCCGCTGTGTTTGTGGCTATCACTCCGGCTGAATCATCAATAAGAGCTGCTAGCTGATGCAAAGACGAAAACATAGAGAACATGATTGGTTTCTCTTCATGCAAAGATTTTGCAGGCGCAGCATAAAAGATGCAGCTCAGACGAAAGAGAAGCAAATGCAAGAAAACCTGGCCAGGCGTGGTGATGAAGAGAATGCATGAATCTTCGCCGATGACTTCCTCAACATCCTCCCTCACTTTCTCATGCGGGATGACGAAGAGAGGCTTCACACCCCTGTTTCCACAGGCTAACAAGACATATTACACATGAAGTGATGTCTTGGTGGTTTAGTTTTAAGGCAAGCTAGGGATGTTGAATCCTTCACATTAGGTGATTTATGAACTGCGCATGCTGAACTAAATTGAGCTCTACAGGAGTCGATAAATATACCACCAGCATGACAAGTTCTCAATCCAAACAATTCAGCGAATGATTCTAATGAAGTTTCCATCTCAGTAAATGACATTGTCTTTTTTATTTCTCCAACAAGAGGCAAACTAGAGATCTAAGCAGATCCTAATTTGGCGATAAACACCAGTAGTTATAGTTGTTCTAGTTGGATTTAGCGATCCAAATTTTCCTTGATCTACGACTTTTTCTTATTCCCTCTTTGTTTCCAAGGAGAAAGGTGGGAAAGATCACTGAAAACATGGTTTTAAGTCCAGAAAATGGAACAGATGATGTGAGTTGTACATACCTTATCCCTTTTGCTATTTCGGCCCACACTCGGATAGGCAACAAGCAATCAGTGTCTCCTTTGGATCTCATAGAAGCGACCGAATCTGTTTCGATCCCATGAATGACCACAAATTTCCGCTTCTCCGCTCCTGCTTTACTGTATTTTGCTTCCACATATGCCTTCAGCTTCTTTGAGATGGACACTTTGAGAGGAGGCACCGGTTGCCTTGGGACATTCCGAGCTGGTCTACCCAACCATTCCACCATTTGATGATACCTGCAGCAAAAATCGAAAATGTTCCAACATCTCATGCGTGATTTACTGGGAACACCGAACAAGAACAAGAACGAGCAATCGAAGGGAAGAAGAGTGCTGTGTCATCAACAAGGCAATGCCGGTGGCCTCACATGTCGAATCCGGCTTGGGAGAGATTGGAAGACGGAGGAGTGAACGTCTCCGTGAGCAGCAGTCCTGCGCCTGCTGCGTTGACATTTGGATACACGTAGCTGACTTTGTCTCGAGCAGATGTCATGAACAGGAAGGCCGCATGGCCGAGCCCAGAAAGCTTGGTCGATAAGATCATGTCATAGTATCGATTCTGTCCACAGATATGAGCCAGCGAGTGAGTGAGAATTTGTGTTGCGGTTGTCGTCGGATTAAGATCGGTCTGACCTTTAGGACACCGATCATGTCGATGTACTCGGCGGACTCAGGGAAGTCTTCGTCGGGGTCGTAGGCGTTTGCCCACCGCACGTTCTTGTTCAGCTCGTAGGTCTGCTTCCCCCTCGGCGAGGCGACCACGTCCACCAGAACCCCCGGGTAGCGGTCCTTGATGAGCTGGACGACCGGGAAGAAGAGCAGGTTCTCGTAGACGCCGCCAGACACGACGCAGCAGCAGCGCCGCACGTCGCCCCGCACCTTGGCGGCGAGCGAGTCGAGCTCCACGTTGAAGCCCATGGGGAACTTGAGGAAGCCGTAAGGGTTGTCGGGGTCCTCTGGCGGCCTCGGATCCTCCTCCTGTTTGCCGTCGGCGAAGAGGGAGCCGTACTCCATGTCGGGGTCCTCCCCGTCGTCGAAGGGGTCGAGCCACGGGTTCTTCTTCCTCTTGGCGCAGGCGGAGAGGGCAAGCCTCCGCGGATGCGGAGCTGGTGGAGATGAAACGAAGGTGGAAACCGAGGAGTGGCGGAGAGTGGGAGGAGGGAACGATGGGGTGACGGGAGCGAGGGAGTTGGGAAGGAGATGGAGGGAGGCCATGGAGTCGATGTGCTGCAGTGACTGTTGCGGTCGAAGTGGCTCTGCTTTGTGTGGTGGTGGTGTGGTGGAGGCAGTCGACATTGGGATTTCAAATGTGTGGACGAGGGAGGAGAACTGCCTTCACTTCATCCATACTCCTTTTTATGTTTTTGTTTTTTTGTTTTGGTTTCTTTTAGTACATTTTAGCATGCTATTTCCGTAGGAAATGTTAATTGATTCCCATATCCGTATCATATCAGTCTCTCTCTCTCTCTCTCTCTCTCTCTCTCTCTCTACCTACTACTACTACTACTACTACTAC